CCCAAACCATTCTATGATTCTCATGGCTGGGAGCGCCAGGTGCTTGGAGCAGCACTGCGGCCAACCACGGACGGGGTTGCTGGTAGCGAGTGTGCACATCCCCTTTCCTCGGCAGGTTGGGCATCATCTCTCTTCCCTGCACATCAGGTTCCCTTTAAAAATTCCTTCCTGCTTTGCTTTAGTTGTTGCTCAGCGCATCTCGCTGCTGCACTCCCGTGGGTGGGATGCCTCAGGGAAGGGTGGGAGGGTGAGTTTGAAGGGGATTTATCTGGGGTTTTCTCATTTTATTTATTTTCTGGGCTGGTCTGCTGCCACAGGGCTGGGCTATTTGCATTTGGCAGGCTGCAGCGTTCTTAACGGGGAACATCAGTCGTCCTCTGTGAGCTGCTCTGCAGCACGACCTTCTGCGTGCCAAGATGTAATTCTCTGGTATTCTCCCCCAGCTGGAGCAGCGACCTGGAGGCTGCCACAGGCCTCGGGAGCCCCCACAGCTGGCTCTTGGCCTTCCTGCCTCATTCTCACCATGTGGAAAAGTCAACATTAAGCAATTTCAGGTTTAACGTAAGGCCTAGGAACGCAGCGTCCCTGGGGAGCGCGGAGCGATGGTTGCGCTGTGCTGGACAGTAGATAATAGACACCCCTCGTTATCAGATGGCGTCACCGCGGCGGGGGGGAGGCCTGTACAGTTTTTCAGTCTTAACAAAAACAAACCTGTTTTCTTCTCTTTTTGTATCTAGCAAACCTAAAGCGTTAGTGAGAATGGCTTCTGGTTGCTTTGCAGTTGGAAAACAATCGTGTGCAGTCGTACGGCTGAGCGCTGCCGACTCCTGTTCAAATTCATCCAGTTTTGGTCTCCTTGGTTGGGTTTGTGATTTTAGGGAGGGAGCGAAGCGTGGAAGCGTAATGCAAATCGTTGTAGCGTTCCCTCTGTTTGCTTGCGTGCGCGTCCTTCCAGACAGCTGTATTAGCGTGCGGCGGGCGCAGAGCATCTTCTGAAACTGCTTCCCTATTTTTAGACTCGTGATGCCGAGGAAGATGTCCTCTGCTGATGTCGCACTATAAAGTGAATCGGGGAGAAGCCCCTGGGCTCTGAACGTCTGGCAGTAAAATGCGGGGTGGTACCTGGAGCGTGGCAGGTGCCAGGGGAGTCCCTCGCTGTGCTGGGGTCGTGGCTCTGACCCGCTTCGGGTCGTCTGGGTCCTGCGGACGAAGAGAAAGCTCAAAGCTGAGAAGCCCGTCAGGAGCACATCTTCTCCTCGCTGGTCATCCCTGGAATGCAGAATCATCTAAACAATCATGGTTTATTTCTGTAGGGTTTCAGTCTAACCCTCCGCTCCCAGCGAGGGTGTCACTCGAGTGGCCGGCACCGGAGGGGATGTGCCCCGCTACAGTTTGACTCGATGGTATCTGCAAGGTCTGTCAGGGCAAAGTTAATCGGGAGCCTGCCGTGAAGAGGGCTCTGACGCGGTCTTTGTAGTGTCCTGGCATGGGCAACTTTATCCCTTGGTACTGAATAAGGCAAATTTCTACCTACTTATTTCTGCTTTAGTGTTGGGAAATTCTGGAGAATCCTGATCGACATGCGTGGAGGACCTGAAGGATCGCTTCCTTCAAAGCTGTTAGCGTCTGGGAAGCTGAGCACACGTTTGCAGAAGCTTTTTCTCTTCCTTGCATGTATTCTGCTGTGGCTCAGCCTTGAATAATTAAAATGCCCTGCTCTCAGCACTTCCAGGAGTGAAACCTGCCTTGACTGTCAGTCTCTCACCTCCCCTCCCCCGTTTTGCTGGTAAATAATGCTGTTTTAAACCACATTGCAGCCAAGCACGGTGGAACGTTGGCTGATGCTTCTCCCCTTCGTGCACGTGTGCGTGCCCAGGCATATCGCCTGCCCGTAGTGTTGGAGCACTTCAGGAGTGTCTGTGTGTTTTATGTTGGCAGTCTTGAAGGGCCCTGGTACAAAGCTCTCTTCCAATGGGAGTTGTTATCCCAGCGTGGAGACCGATGGAATTTCAGAGGGATGTTCTAATCCATCCGTCTGGAAAGGTGCACGCTAGCACATCTCCTGCCTCCTGGTTCTCGTACTCGATGGCAGCAGCAGCGTTTGGATTGCAACGATGAAATAACGAAAGCTGCTTTTGTTGGATTTAATCCCAAACATTCCAGTTGGTTTTATGGCTTCTGAAATGAAGTTTGTAGTTCTTTTTAGCCGGTCCAAGTTTAACCTTATGTTCCCATTTATCTGTTTTGCTGGTCTTCTAAATAGCAGATCTGCGATGGCAAATCCGTGTTGCATGGGAACTTAACTCATGGCTGCTGCGGAGAGGAACCGGATATCGATCCGGATGGTGTAGATCACATGTGCAACGGAAAAATGCTCAGAAAAATCTTGATGCATCCACATTAAGGCACAACAGAGCCACCTCCAAACCGTATAAATAGCAAGCCTAAACCACAGATACCATCCACGCCCCTTCCCATCAGTTTGGATGAGTATGCCGCCACGTATTCCCAACAAAAATATAACTAAAGATGATGACAGATATATGGGACACGCAACGCTTGAAAGACTCATCCTTCCTTGGAGGCACGAAACGGCCTCCCTTCAGAATTACGAAGAACAGGGTTTTTTGGAGCTGACCTTCAAAGCTCATCAGGTCCCGGTGTGTCTTGGCAGCCCGTTCCCGTGCTTGGGCTCCTGCGGTGGGAGCAGGCCAGCCCCGGTGTCGCATGGACCGCTCCGGGCGGCGGCATCGCGTGCACCGCCGGAGCATGTGCGGTGTCGGCTGTGCAGTGACGCAGCCCGGATGGGACGTGTGCGTGTGGCAGCTTGGGTGTGAGCTCACGGTTCGCTTCCCGGGAGCTGGCAAGCGTGAGCAGGTTGCAGGGAGAGCGCGGTACCGCGCCGCCGGCACAAGTGCTTCTGCACCTCATCAGGTCCCGGTGTGTCTTGGCAGCCCGTTCCCGTGCTTGGGCTCCTGCGGTGGGAGCAGGCCAGCCCCGGTGTCGCATGGACCGCTCCGGGCGGCAGCATCGCGGCAGCACCGCCGGCACAAGTGCTTCTGCACCTATCTGACGCTTCTCCGTGGCAGGTGGTTCTGTAACCATCTTCCAACGCTTTTCCAGCGGCTGAGGCTCTCGGAGTTTGGTGATCTGGACATCCTTATATCAGAAGGGGTGCCTCTCTCGGAGCCTTCCCCGAGCTCTGTGCCTGGTAAACGGGAGGATTTTACATCTGGTAGAGCTGGTACAGACTTGCCTCGGGTTCTTAAAGCGTGTTTATGTGTTGCTGCGTGGCAGAGTTGAGCTGTAAGTCCTGATTTCATCAACTCGCTCAGCTATGGCGCCTGAATAACTCCGTTCCAGCCCCGTTTCCTTCTTGCAGCGATGTCTTGTCAGCATCCTAGCAAAAGCAGCTGTAAGAGCAGCTACACCCCATGCTCCTCCTGTGAACGTGTCCAGGAGAGGACGAGCTGGCTGGAGACAGCCTGGATGTGGTGACCTTACCTGGGCGTCTGAACTGTGCGCCTTTACTGACGTGCGAGTTGGTGCATCCGCAACGGCAGAAACAAGTCGGTGCTGGTGTGGAGGGGAGGGCTTCGGAGCTCTGAGGGTGTGGTTTTCTGTAGCTGAATGCTCTAGAACGGCTTAAGCTAAACGACGCACAGAAAACCTCAACTCCGTCACGTGCGGTTGTTTCTGAGGTGTTTTCCAGCAAAGCCAGCGTGGCTAAACTTCAACTCTTTAACTGAACTTTGCGTAGTGTTTCCTTATTACTCTGGGAGCCACGGCTTAGCTTTTAAGAGCAGAGGGCCCTAATTGTGGGCAGTACTGGAGCGAATTGTACTTTAGGTGATGTGTTTTGACTTCTCCCGGCAGTGCCTTTCCCCGCCTCCTCCCTTCCCATCACCCAGAGACCTCTGTGACCCTTTTTGGTTTTCATTTGACATCTCTCTGGTAGCATCCCTCTTTGTTTAAGGGGTGTCATCTAGACCTTTTTATTCAAGATACTGAGCTTCAACGTTTATGGAGGGTGAACCTACAGCCAGAAGAAACCCACAGTCACACCGATGGACGAGCGCTGCAGTCGTGCGCGAACGAACGGCGTGCACCTTCCTCGCACGGTCTCTCCTTTACGCAGCTCATCCAACCGCCTACAGTTGCGTGCTTCATCTTTTTTTGTGGTTTTCTGTAGCTGAACGCTATTCCAGTGTTGATTTAAAGCAAATCCTTTGGCGCGATGTAGTAGTTTTCTGAAGCGGAAGGACCTGTTGCACGCCCTTGCGTTACCTGCAGAAGGTTTGTGTCTTATTGTCGCTCCACCCACGGTGAAGACCGGGTCCTGTCTTGGCTTGCTGTCAGTCTCTGCAGCTGCCTAGGTTCCAGTTGGATAAGAGTTATTGTTGCTGATGCTGTATGTCACCCAGCACCGTGACGTAAGCAGTAAGTCATGTTAGAAAGAGATCAGTCCAGTAAAAATTCTTTCTTCTCTACTCTTGGCTTGCTGTCAGTCTCTGCAGCTGCCTAGGTTCCAGTTGGATAAGAGTTATTGTTGCTGATGCTGTATGTCACCCAGCACCGTGACGTAAGCAGTAAGTCATGTTAGAAAGAGATCAGTCCAGTAAAAATTCTTTCTTCTCTACTGATTGTTGCTGATGCTATACGTCGCCTGCCACCGTGACGTAAGCAGTAAGTCGTGTTAGAAAGAGATCAGTCCTTTCCGATCAGTAAAAATTCTTTCTTCTCTACTGGAGAATGTTTTGAAAAAGGTAATTTGATCTGTATTGCTTGGAATGCGAAACTCTCCATTCCCCTCTGGGAGGTCCTCCCGCCTGTCTGACATTCTGTACCGTTCCTCTCTAACGAGCCTGATGTCTCCTTACCCTTGCAGAAGAGAACGCAGAAATCACCCTGGATGTGTCGTTAGCGTATCGTGACAACACGTTTGATGATTGGAAAGAAATAGCGCACGCCATAGAGATCAGGAAGCTGAAATGCACCTTCGGCTCACCAAAAGTAAGGGGTTTTGATGACGCTGGAGGTGGGGAGGGTGTGGGAGTGTGGTGGGACTTGTCCTCTTCCTTTGGCTCAGAATCTTTGGAAACTGGTGATCTCCACACACGGTTACGAGAGAAGGGGAGGAAGTCGGAGGTGGACTTAAAACTGTAAGGAAGAAAAGGGGTGAGGTGTTGTCTGGAATGTGACTGCTCTGAGATCTGTTTGCCCCAAGCCTTCCTAGGGAAGTTAGACCTTTCCCTCTTGTGCTTCTGTGGTGGGCAAAACCTTGTTCCTCAGGCGTGGGGTGGAACTCTCCCACCAGTCCACTGTGGCACTCACGTGGCACTCAGACAGCTTCCTCGTGCCTCACGCTCCCAGGAGCAGGAGCAGAGAGCACAGCCAGCAGCTCAGAACTGAGCATCCTGTTTAAGTAAAGATGTTCCTTTTTGTGCTGCAGACTAATTCCTGCACTTAAACTGACCTGTGATCTCTTTACCGTGCCACGTTCTTCAGCTCTGCTTCTTGTTCTCCCACTTCACAGTCCCTTTCAGCAACCAGCTTACCTCTCTGGTAACACCTGCACGTAGAGCTACGGATACGCAGTAAATACGTACGAGGTGTTACGAAACTCCACGTCAAGACGTGTGAGAGGGTTGGGGATTTTGTCTGGGCTCAAGCTGAGCTTTCTGAGGGAAGAAGCTTGGATCCCAAAGCAGCCTTTCATCTTGAGAGGCTCCCTCGACTTAAATCTCTATAGGAGCTGAGACGTGAACCTGCTTGAGGTCAAACGCTATTGATCGGTGACCCAAAGCAATCAAAAATGTCGCCAAACTGCTGATGTTCTCTAGACTTGCACAGGCTCTCCCCCGGC